TCCCCAGCCCTGGTCGGGGTTGTGTGGGAGGCAACCAGTAAATGTGTTCCTCTCGTGTCAATGTTTCTCCCTTTCTCTCTCCCCCACTCTCTCTGAAGATAAATAAAAAAATAACCTTGGGTGAGGATTAAAAATAAATAAATAAATAAATATTTTAAAAAAATGCTTATAATAGTGTCTTGCACATAAAAAAATGCTCAATGAATATTTGGTATTCTTATTTTTATTCTTGAAATTATTCTCACTGACTCGACTTCACCTTCCATTTCTTTAACCTGCTCCAGTCAGGCCTTGTCCCCCACTGCAAGGTGTCAAGATTTACCCAATTCCTCCATCATGCCAGAGACAATGGTGAATTCTCAGTCTTCATTTTGGTTGACTTAGCAGAAGAACTTGACATAGTTGATCATCTTTGTTAACATTTTTCTTTATTTGGTTTCTAAGATACCATATTCTTCTTTTTTTCTTACTTAAGGGTTATTCTCTCTTAAGCCTCTTTTGATGGTTTCTCTTTCTGACTTCTAAATGTTGGCATATTCCAGGGCTCAATCTTTTTAGCTTTCTCCTTGACTCAAAGCACCCTAAGTAATCTTATCCAGTGCCACGGTGTCAAATACCACCTGCAGATTACTCCCAAATTACATCCTTAGTCTTGATCTAATCAGCTCTAGACTCATATCTAACTAACCACCTAACAACTAAATTTAGATGTTTAATGGGCATCTCAAAATCAACATGTCTAAAATAAAATTCTTGATTCCCCCAATACTTGAATTGGCTATTGATATCTTACATCTACAGAGTGATTTTTAAGTTTTCAAAGCATTTTCTTATACTTTAAAAAAATTAATTAATTTTTTAAATTGTACTTTTGTTACAGATGTTTCTTCTTTTTTACCCCATTGACACCCTCCTCCCCATCTCCCCCACTCCATCCCTGGCTTTGTTGTCCATGTCCACTGGTCATGCGTACATGCATATAAGCTCTGTGGTCTATCTTCTCCCTCCCCCCTCACCCCCTCTTCTGAGGGTTGTCCATCTGTACCCTACTTTCACATCATATGTTTTAAAATATTATCTTTATAAAAGACAGTTGGGGTTAATTCTATCTGTCAGATGGACATTCTGTGACTCTGATTTGTCAAATAGGTTTCTAAAGAGGCCATAAACAATAGCTTATATAACCCAGAGTAAGCAATAGATTCCAAGTCTCCTTATTCGCTCTATTAGGTTATAATACTGAGCAACTCATATTTAATCCTTAGAAATGGTGACTTTAAAAATGAATTTCAAATTAATAGGAAAAGGAGCATATAAAATAGCATAACAGAAGTGATATAACTTAGCTGCCATGTGTACAGGCCAACACACATGTATAAATGGTTTCCCCCTTGCCAATTATTGTTCACATATGATTACTATCATATTATCCAGAATAATTCCACTATTCTTCAGTAAGATCTCATTTTGCTGAGTTTTCTACTCTTTGGAGAGCAAGTAAGCAGTCTAGTCTGGCCTTATTATCCATACGAATGCAATTAGATTTATTTTTACAATGATAAACACCATCTTAAAAATTTGAAAACTTTATGGTATATCATTCAGTAAATGATAACTCTAACTTAATTACATACAGATCTCCAGAGAGAGAGGCCAGGAAAATCAAGACAATACTAAATGAATCTTTGAAAGTGCGAACATTCTAGTTAAAAATGTATTTCTTGGTTTTAGGTAAGTTATTCAATAAATTTTATATATGTATGTCTAAACAGGATCTATTGTAAGATGCAACATCATAAAACAAATTCATTACTTTAGGTAATGCTATCATATAATCAAATAGTTTAGCTATTCAATTTGAAGATTTCAGTTTTAAATACTGTTGGAGCTTGTGACAGTCATTTTTTTCCTTAAGAAAAGCAAACACAAAAATCTTACTTGAAACAAACACACATATACACACACATATAGAACTTAGGAGCCCATTAAAGTTTGGAATCCAGTAATTGCAAAACAATCTCGGTTGCTGTTCTATAGTTAAACATGAGCTGGAAAATGTGAGATATTCTTAATTCTACTGTCCATTGGTCAAAGACATTAGGTGGGTAGGTAAAAATAATTGCACATTTTAAGACTGATTAAAATCTTAGTCATTATAATGTTGCTGAATATTAATGAAAATAATGAAAAAGGAATACTTTATTTTCTGCTATACTATATATGGAAAGATGCTATATGATGCAATAAGGACGAACACTACATTTCTTAAATCTGCCAACATCATGATGTTTTTGAAGATAAAATACCTAAAGCTACTCATACATAAAAACCAAATCAATGTTGTTACAGAATCTCAGTGTATGGTCAATGGATACGTGCTTTTTCAATAAAAATATTGTCAAGGAAAGGTATATAAGATATTTATGCCAAAACTATAAAGACATGAAATTGATCATTCAGAAATATTGACCATTCTCTTCTTGAAATCTTCTATACTTGCAGTTTTTCTATGACAGTAACTCGCATAGATTTTGTTCTTTCCTCATGATCATTCCTTTTGGTCTCCTTCATGAGTTCAGGACTCATTCCTCTCCCTCTTTCCCTAACCTATTCCTTCTTTTATACTTCCAATATCCATTAATAGCACTACAACCATCCACCCAGTGATACAAGCCAGAAATATAAAAATCATCTTAGAATTCTCTCTCCTTCACCTTCCCGTATCGAAAGAGTCACAAAATCGAATGGCTGACTACTAATTTTGCTCTTTAAATTTTCTATGACATTATCACCTCTCTCTATCTTTATTACAATTGACTTAATTAAGATTCATTCAGGCTCTTATTTCTTATCTGAATTATTGTACCACTCTGCTAAATCATTTAAAAATATTCACCGCCAGATACTGACTTGAGTTTACTTCTTTATTGTAACCGCACCAGAATATAAGCTCGAAAAGAAAGATCTCTTTTTTTATTCATGTTTTCTTTAGGATAGTGCCCAGCATATGGTAGATGCTTTAAAAACATTGTTAAATAAATAAATGGCAGCCTGGATGTCCTACAAATTATGTAAATTAGGTCTACAAAGTATGAAAATCTGACCCTATCAATCCTCTTTTGAAAACCCTTTAAAACTTCCTATAACTTATAAATCAGTATGATCAATAGGACTCTCCATGATCTGATTTCACTTATCTACCAGCTTCATCTCTAGCCACATTCAGCCCAAACATTTTATGGTAAAATTACCTACTGCTATCATTCTTGTACATATCATGCCCCCATGCCTTTGTTCATTATAATTTTTTATGGTTTCTATCTGGAACACCTTTCAAATTGTCCTATAGCTGGTTAACAATTACTCTTTGTTCAGGCCTTAAACCAGGTATCAACTACTCCAGGCATTTATTCCTGGAATTCAGGTCGGATCGAATGGACTTCCTCTGGCACCCAGCACAAGTCTGTGCAATTCCAGTTTACCACTGACATATTACCCTGAAGCAATCTGTTTACGCATCTATCTTCTACCAGATTATAAGCAACTCAAGTTATAAATGATTTCTTATAACTTTTGTTCTCCATGTGCCTGGTACACAGTAAGTGCTCAATATTGATTTAAAAGCCCCAAATGAATTATTTTGTTTAACAACACATATTCTCTTGTACTCTTATTAATGTTTGTTTTAGGTACTTAATTGTTTTCAAATGAAGTTTTAAAGAGAAATGTGTGCTAAATTAAGTTCTACCAGAGAAATATAAAAACAACTTTCAAAAGAAACATTTATCGTATTAGCACAACACAGCTAATTATGTATAATATTTGTAATTAAAAATCATTTCAATATGTTTTATGTTCATAAATTAATTTATATTCCTATATTAAAATCCAAAATAACATTTTGAAACATAAAGTGAAAAATTCCTATAATAATTATATTAAATACAGTGAGTTACAACCACTTTATAATGAATACCATCACATAATTATTTCTATATGATATTATCACATAAGGCTCAAATCCCAAAATCACCATTACAGTTCATAAAATCAACATTAGTCAGGTCCAGGAAATAATGTATCTTTAAATTCTCTTGTGCTGTACTTTTAAGTCTTGATGTTTTTGTATAAGAGCCCTAGTTAGTATACAAACATAAATGAGATTTAATCCATTTGCCTATAATTTATTTGCTGTAAAAGAAACACCACATTATATGCTTTGTTTGTTAAGTAGAAGATATACTATTATTTGAAAGATACCAGGATTTAATGTTTAATTATCAACACCCATTTAAAAAAAAGACACTGCTTTGACTCACAGATTTCTTAATTGCTAACAGAGGCTTTTCTGAGTAGGAGTATTGTATTTAATTTATTTTTGTAGATGTGATTTAGCAACTGAATTTCAAATTAGCAACGCTTTGAAAATCTTCACTGTCAGCAGAAAATTCCTCCATCCCTGCTGCTGGAGAATGTTGCTTGAAGTTTTAATAGGAAATAAAAATGCAGTGAGAAAACTGATACTATTGGTAACTGCTGCTTACAAACTGAGAAAGAAGTTAGGTTGTCAGCAATAAAAATATATTATTCACACAAAATATGAAGTGTCATCTTCATCACCATAACTTACTGGGAATGAAAATTAATTGGTCTGATTCCAACTTGAGAAAGCTACAGAAAAGCAAGTATCTCCAGGATCAGAGTATCTTTACAAAGGATCAGCAACTGGCAATCAGGGCAACCACAGCTTAACTCCTCCCTAAGGAATAAAGACACTGAGTACATTTCAAGAACAGTGGCCAAGGTTTTATTTCAGGCTCATCACTGAAAAACAAAGTCATTGTTATATTTTCAGAAAAGTTGACTAGTTTAAAGTGCCTCTTTCCCTCTGGAACATGTCATCATCCACATATCACTGTAATAAAATGAGCAAAAGAAAAAGAATATGTATTTTAATTACAACTTAAAGAGAAAGTGAAAAGTAACATAAAAATGCCTACCCGTTTGGCTGAGCTGAGAAGCGCTGCGACTTTTCCGTGAGAGACCAACAATAGCTACCACTTTGGCCCCAATGCTAGAGCGCCGCTTTTGGCTGCTGGTGCCCAAGGCGCCCACTGCAGTGTCAGACTGGCTGCCATCGTTCTTCTCCAGCGAGCACATGTCTCCGCTGATGCTGGTGCTTTTGGTCATGTTCTTCCCTGAGCTGCCCATTTGTCTGCTTTGCATTTTGGATGTAAAGACACTGTAGGCCGATGGATTGTTAAATGTGAAGACAAGAGTAAAAAGGAAAAGACAGAAAAGGTATTTTAGATGAAACATCTGAAATTTGATTAAATTATATCATTTATGGGACACATTTTTAGGATTAAGATTTTTCAAATACCATGGTTTTGAATGGGCCTTACTATTCAGGGCGAGTCTTAACACAATTATGGAAAATCAGACTTATGATTTCATTTCTGGTGTCAAAGACACTAGTTTGCATGGCCACAGGAAAAAAAAAATTATGAAAAATCAGTGGGCTCCTTTAAGAGAATAAGCTGTCTTGCAAGTGCAAATATGCTTTAAGGCAGGAAAAAGTTTGCAAAAGCATTCTCCTCCAATTCCATTCACTATTGCCTTCAAAAAGAAATTAGATAAGTGGGAAAATGTTACAAAAAATGGGAAAAAATTACAGTATCCATTGCTAAGAGTGGCCTTTTAAAATAAGTCTTTTTCACTTTATGAAAAACCTAATAAGGTTTCTCTAATAATACCTACATCTTCTAGCAGGAATTGGTATTTTCATTAGGTTTGAGTTAAAAATAATTTATTTCACTTTATATAATATGCTTTCATATTTATTGATATAATTCAATATTTTTAAAAAAGATTTTCCTCTTGCATTCATTTGACAGAAAGACAAATCACTATTGGTTTTCTAGACAGTGATCAGAGAGCAATCAATGAGTCAATGAAGCACGTGAGCTGACTGATGATTGCCTAGAAGACTAACACAGTGTCAGAGAAAGGACCCGGGATTTTTCTATAACTAGAGATGTGTGGTAGGAGGTTGAGTAAGGGGGTAAAGAATTTGGAAGCAGGTTATTCAGCTGGCCCCACAAACCTGGAAGAATGTGAGGGAAGCAGCTTGATTTGCAGAAATAAGAAGACTCATTTCTGTGTCACCAATTTTTGACTCAGTATTAGAAAGTCATAGTTTCTGGTTTTTATTATTATTATTATTCTGAAAAATCTGAGTATGTAACATAATTATTGAAACAAAATTTTAAAAAATTAGGCATATACTTATATATCATTTAAAGGGCGAGAATAAGAAAACTGACCAATAGAGGTTAGTTAGCTTTTATCTCTAATTCAATTTCTTGGTCTTAATAAAAAAATTTTTTTTCTATCTTAAGAGAAAACCTACTAAAAGGATAGAACAACTTGTTATTTTTAATGTATATACATTTTCTCCAAGCATTTGAGAGGGGAAAGGCTCAATGTGAAATTAAAAACAAAAAACAACAACAACAAAAAAACAGTACACTATTTTAACCTTCACATTAGTTTCAAGGAGAAATGAGGCATAAATAGGCGGAAAGGGGACGAGAGAGAGGCAAGCAGAGAACAGTGTATATGTTTCTATAAATCCCAAACAGATAATTTTCAAGCCTGTTTGATTTTGCTCTTCTTTAATAAGCAACAACAGCAAAAAGTTTTGGAGACAGACAGATGTGGGCTTAAATACCAACTTTGCTGCTGCTTAACTGTCTTCCTCTAAGAGTTAATTGCTCTACTCTAAGCCTCAGTCTTCTCTAAATTATAACATTAGAATTTTCCTTTCTTATTCTCAAGAATAGAAATAATATGTCTGAAGTGGAAATTCAATAAATGGAAAGTATAATAATAATACTTATTAGGAAATATGGATAATAGATAAAATAGGGTTAAAGCCCTTCAATATGTATGAAGTACTTAACAGCATCAATAGAAATAATATTTGTAGTTATAAATTTAAATTGAAAAATTTTGAGATTAAAATGTTTAAAATGGTTTTCATATAGCCAGCATTATATAATGAAGAGTAAACTACACTAAGAGTCTGGGATTCTGGTTTGTATTTGGCTTTACTGACTGATCTTGGCAAAGCTGTTTCCCTCTCTGGAACTTAGTTTCCCTGTTTAACAAGTGAGAAAACTATGTAAAGTACTAAGCAGAATGCCAAATACATAAGAGCCCCCAAAATTATTCTCTTCCTGTTTCTCATCACCATTACCACTACCACCATCATCATCCATTAAGCAGCTGTTAAACAACTTGAACTGGATCTATAAGGTCCCCTTTAACTAGTAAATGCTTTGCTCCTCTAGACATCTCTTGTTCCAGGGACTCAGCAAATAAACACAGAAATGCAGCAGAATATTTTATAATATGCTGCCATCAGAAAAGGCATGGCCTAAATAAAAGAAAAATCAAAGTTTGGTTAAGATTAAGGCTTTGAAAATAGTTAAAAGATGCTCATACAGTCACAGTAAACTAGTGCTCCTATTATGTAAGGATTTCTACCCCAAATACACATTTTCAAAAAAAACCCACTTAATCTGTTACCTACCAAGGAAGTCAAAGATACACTCACAAAATATGGCTTATTGTACCTTGTGATTTTTGCATTTTAATTTTCATGGTTGGATATAAAAGACATAAAGAACTTGGCCAGAATCAAGCAGGATACTATACTAACTGGAAACAATAAATTAGTGTGTAGATTAATATTTTAATTATCATTTGGTTTTTAAAAAGCATACTTCTCTCCAATCTAGCAACTTGGATAATGCATAATCTACAAAAAAAGGTTATTAAAAAATTTGTAAGGTACATCTACCCTTGATCTCCTTGAAACTTTGAGATCATCAGCAAGGAGTTTATAAATAGTTGCCCTGGGTGCTGTGTTTTGAGGGAAGGGAGACTGATGTGAGGATATAACTATTGGTTTCCTTTCCTATCCTCAGTGGACGTCAGCTAAAACTACAAACAAAAAAGCTGTCAACCAAAAATTTTAAAGTTTTGGGCTCTTGATTTATAGAATACTTGGAGTAAAGGTTCCGCAAGCATGGGTGATCATTTGGAATGCTCATTGTGCTTAATAAAGCAAAGACCCATTACATGATCAATTACTTTAAAAGAAAATTTGTAAGGGTCTAGTAATATAATAAATTTCCAATGTTGCTGGTGGCCTCAGTGATAGATTTCTGAAGGTCAATTTGGCAATATGTATTAAAAACCTTAAAAAAAACAACAAGCCTATCTTTTAACCTATCAATTCTCCTTTTAGAATTTATCCTAAGGACAAACTTAGCAATGTGTACAGATTTAGCAAGAACGATATTTATTGAGAATTGATTATAACAGGAAATACACACATACAAAGGAAAACCTCATAAATGTCTAACAGTAGAGGGTGTCTGAATAGGTTATGTTCATCAATAAAATAGAATGTACCTTTGAAAATGCTGTTATAAATAAATATTTATTGACATAATATATGTTCCTGATATGGGAAAAGGGAGAGAGGAAGCAGATATTTACAGCTTAGTTCTGGCTGGCACAAATACCAAATATGGATTTACTCTAATGCTAGGGGACACCGACAAATTCCAGAGTCTATTCAGTGGCATGCACAGAAAAAAAATTAATATAAAAAAAATAAAGAAACATCTCTAGGTAGTTTGGGAAACTGGGATTCATGAGATGATTTACCAGTCACCTGCATAAAAGCAAATAAAGAGAATATGAACAAAAATAACTTGTCTGCTGAGAAAGTTTTATATTCTTAGGGGGGAAAAGCCTAAGTTCACAAAGCAAAAGATCTAGAATGATATACTGTGAACAGTGTCCTAAAAGTAGTATTAATTTTCTCTGGTTGGTAATTATGCTTTAAAAAAAATTAAAACAAATAAAATAGACAAATAAAAAGAGTAATAAAGCACCGACATTTTTTTCCCTTTGACATAGGTAAGATTATTAAACCCACATTAGTTCATTCCACAGGCTAAATGTATATATAATATGGCTTTCAAGCTAATCCTAGGAGTTTACTACACAATAACATTGGGTGTTGATACAGGATACACAGTATTTCTACATTTCTACATACTATTTTATATGCATGTTTTTTATTTTTTCTTTTAGAAAAACTATATACTTAGCATCCTCAAAGTAAAATATGAAAAATTGCCAATGCAAGTGATCTATTTATGACATCCTTGTAGTTGTTGAAAGTTGTACCCTGAAAGATTTTTAAAAAGGCAAATCTAGTATTGTCAATCATTAGGAAAAGGGTAATGAAAGGTATGTTAAGTATTTGGCCCTGGCTGGTTTGGCTCAGCGGTTAGAGCACTGGCCCGCTGACCAATGAGTCACGATTCAATCCCAGAAAGAGGCACGTCCCTAGGTTGCGGTTCATCCCCAGCCCTAAATAGCATATCAGGGATTATAAAATTATGTGATTAAATTAAATGAATGTTAAATTAAATGTAGGCCACAGGGCTAGAAGTGTTTACAGAATTGAGTAAACATAGCTAAGTGGTTGGTTGTTAAGACAAATTGAGAACACACAACAAAGACAAATTCTGAGTTTGTGAGAATACGGGCATAGGAGTAGCTTTGTAAACAAATATATGGTCATGTCGAAACAAATATTTCATCATATGGAGAGCTGGGAAGGTGGTTAGAAGAGAATTCACCCAAGGAATTAGAGACTGGGGTGATTAGAAATACTTGCGGCCTAGCAGCTAATACAATGGAGTATGAGAACCACAGAGGAAGAGAAAAGGCATGTAAGGATGGAAAGGAGACAGAGATCTTTCTGCGGGGGAGAGGGGGAGCATTTATAATATCTTATGCTAGGAAGTGGTGCTAGAGAGGGCTCAAAAGCTAGAAGATAAAGTAATAATGGCAGAGTAGAAAAAACACAACAATGAGATACGCCAAACTCCCAAAAATTAGAGAACTTTGAAAGGCTTAATTCCTTTTCCTTCCCTCTTCTGTGTTCCTGGAGGCAGGTGACAAGAGCTAACTGAATACCTCTCACTATGATAACTCATATTTGCTTGCAACAACTGCCAGTCACTGGGCAGATGTCTGGATTATAAAGTGCCATTTCTTAAATTTTGGCATTCTCTCTCTCTCTCTCTCTCTCATTCATATTCTCTAAGAAACCCTGCCACTGTGTAAATCTCCCCTAATTTAAATTTTTTA